AATAGCCGTCATTATGTGAAACATAATTCTTGATCTTGAGATGTGACCTAGACATGCTCTCCAGAGATTCAGCATCAAGTTCTGACCTCTTTCTTTGCATTTTGGAGCACATGTGCTCAAAATACTATGATTTTTCATTATTAGCCCCCATTATTTTATTTTTATTTTTTAAATATTTCCCAAATTATGTTTAACAGAGCAAGGAAATTTTTACAGTATGTCTGATAATATTGTTTCTTCTAGAGAAAGTCTTATTTGTTTTATTTTGGCTTGAAAAAAAAAACGTTTTAAAATTTTTAACACTGTTTTAAGGTCAATATTATTAGCCCCTTTAAGCAGTTTTTTTTTCGATAGTCTTCAGAACAAACTGTCATTATACAATAACTTGCCTAATTACCCTAACTAGTTAACCTAATTTACCTAGTTAAGCCTTTAAATGTCACTTTAAGCTAATAACAGAGGAAGACTGTTAGAGAGAAAGTGGATGGAAAAATCTGAGGAGGTTCTTTATAACTCCTAAACTGTCTGCATTGTGTGCAGGTGTTGAAAGTTTGGGCTCTTGTTGGAGACAATGTGGAACCTCAATGGCAAACCATTTTCACGGTGTTAATGTTCAAACTATAATGTTTAAAGTGGCTGACAATAATCAATATTTTTAATAATATGAATTGATCTGCCTCGTTTTTGAACTGTGCAGTGCTGAGGCTGCTTCATCGGCCTACTACTACTACGCTACTGTATTTCAATACTGGTCATTATGGTGGTACTTGGAGAGGCTATTCATTTCTGAGGTGGTACTTGATGACAAAAGTTTGAGAACTAATGGATTTGATGTTTATAACAGTGCATGGACGTTTTACTTCTCGACCTTCACTTCTGTTTTGCATTGCAAATCTGCATGCAGGAGCAGCTGTTAAAGGTTTTATAGGCATACAGTTGCAATAACCTTTGCAGATTGTGTTGGATTCTTTCTAAATAGACAGGCTGCTAAAACTGGTCATGAAATGGTTAACCAGAACCCAGCCCCCGAGAGCTCTAATTACTTTCATCCAGGCCTGTAAGGAAGCATGTTTGCGAAAGATTACCCTCCATTTTGACCGTGTGCAAGGTTTCATTCCCTTCCTTCATTTAAGAACCCAAACGTGTTCTGTTCTCAACCGCAGCATTACCTCATTGCATATTTACAGATGTATTTTCGGCCCTGTTTCTCACGTCTCTGTTTCTCACGTCCTCATCTGTCTATGTTCTTCTCAGCCCCTGTTTCTACATCTTTCTGGAAGTGGTGTCCCTCCCCCAGTCTGTCCTCCATGTTTCTGTCTCTTGTCTCTCAGCTCCGCTTGCCGTGCAGATGGTTCTTTGTTGGAGCCTCACAAAGGGGGTTGAGGTCAGTGTGGCCTAAAACAGACACATAAACCAAAACTTTAGCCTCCACGTTGCCTGCGGAAACGATACAGTACTCGCTTTACTAGTGTTTGCTGAAGCGGCCATCACTCACTGTTAAACTTTCTTGTACTTTTAAAGTGATAAACATGACACTGAAGGTTAGTCGAGTTATCACACCTGCTGTTTTATATATATGCTTTAAGATATAAAGTGACAACTGATTGTTATTTTGCATTTGTTTTGTCTGGTATACTGTTACAAAGATTTTATCTTACTTTATGGCCATGTAATTTTACACATCTTTGCCTCTTAAAGGGATAGTTCACCCAGAAAAAACCTTTAGGAGTTTCTTTCATCTGTTGAACATAAAAGAAAATATTTTGAAGAATGCTAGTTCCCATTGACTTCAATAGTAAAAAATACACACTTGCCGGCCACTTTATTAGGTACACCTTACTAGTACACGGTTGGACCCCCTTTTACCTTCAGAACTGCCTTAATCCTAAGATTCAACAAGGTACTAGAAATATTCCTCAGAGATTTTGCTCCATATTGACATGATAGCATCACATAGTTGTTGCAGATTTGTCGGCTGCACATCCATGATGTGAATCTCCTGTTCCACCACATCCTAAAGGTACTCTATTGGATTGAGATCTGGTGACTGTGTAGGCCATTTGAGTACAGTGAACTCATCGTCTTGTTCAAGAAACTGGTTTGAGATTATTCGCGCTTTATGACACGTTATCCTGCTGGAAGTAGCCATTAGAAGATGGGTACACTGTGGTCATAAAGGGTCAGCAACAATACCAACACAGGCTCAATCTGAAAACGTAGTCCCGTGGACGTTTCTGGAGGCTGCGAATTATGTAGGCAGAGGTACATATGGCTGCATTAAAAAATTTTTAAGCGAACGCTACGGGCGGTATGATGCCGTTTCTTTTGTCGCTTACCGGCTGACCGGTTACCTCCATGTGCAGGGCTTTCCTGCCACAACCAGTTTGTCCAGTTAGCCTGTCGTGTACATCGGCGGACTTGAGACGCAGAGAGAAGTTGACCATGACGACAACGGCGACCAGGTTTAAGTCCGGGGAAGAGCGGTTCCAGAAATCAGGAAAGACAAAAACGAAAAAAAATTAAACGAACAAGTAAACAACAGGGTGAGAATGTGGTGAAATCCGAAAACGTGGTAAAAATCAGACGAGGGCTTTTCTTTTTCTGGACGGCTTTTGTACTTCATTTTAGGGAAGTAAAATTGTCAATCTGTAAAATTGGTTGGGTTTAGGGAAGGAGGAGGGTGGGTCGGTCGATTCGCCACACAGTTGCCTCTTGCGGATTCGCGAAAACAAAAACTGCAAAAATACATACCTCCCAGGACATATTTCACAATCTCCAGAAAAGTCCACGGGACTACGTTTTCAGAATGAGCCTGGGTTAAACAATACTCAGGTAGGCTGTGGCGCTGACACAATGTTCAATTGGTAGTAATGGGCCCAGAACTGCCTCTCACTGGATATTTTCTCTTTTTCAGACCATTCTCATTAAACTCTAGAGATGGTTGTGCATGAAAATCCCAGTAGATCAGCAGTTTCTGAAATACTCAGGCAGCCCATCTGGCACAAACACCCACGCCACGTTCAAAGTTACTTAAATCACCTTTCTTCCCCATTCTGATGCTCAATTTAAACTGCTGCAGATCATCTTGACATATGCGTAAATGCATTAAGTTGCTGTCATGTGATTGGCTAATCAAAAATTTGAGTTAAAGAGTAGTTGGACAGGTGTACCTAATAAAGTGGCCGGTGAGTGTATTTACTGTAGTTAAAACTATACATGTCTAACTGCTTTATCACTGATGAAGTATCACATTTTTGCTAGGTTTTAATGTGGAGACGGTTAAGTATAAAAAACATCTCGTTCACTCTGTGTGATGTTGGTTATCACAGCAAACTTCGAAGTTTTGGAAAATATTATTATCTGAACTGCCAGGTAAGGATTTAACTAATATTTGCACATAATATCTGTCTATAAAATACTGGTGAATGAACTATCCCTTCAATAACATAGAGGTGTTTTCCCTCTGTATATTCTAATGAGTCATAAAAGCCTGACCAATCAGATCAATCAGATTTGATTTTCTTTTATATTTTCTCTTAATGTTCCATTTAAAAATAATAATAAAAGTTTTTTTTTTTTTTATTAGTCAAGCTTTACAGGATTAAAAGACTTGTTTAGTCATGCTACTTCCATGTTCATCTGACCCCAATCAGAGAGTTTATTATGGACTGTTTACACAGTATTCATTCTTGCATTCAACCGCAGATTGATGAACAGAATAGCTTTTTTAAACCTGTCTATTTATAACTTGATACGCTACTTAAAACTGTGTAGCTGGAAGCTCACAAAACAGTGACAGCAGTGGTCTCCGTCTGAATGAGAAAGAGAATGAATGTTAAGGTATCACTGTTTATAGAGCATTATACTATGCAAACTGTTTAACAACTGCAGCTCTCAATCTGTTTTCTTTACACACAGTAATGCATTATCATAAAGTCTTAATTGTTTAGAATAAAGAATAAAAGCTAGAATAAAACAGTTTTTTTATTTAAAAAAAACACATTTTAGGGTCAAAATTATTAGCCCCTTTAAGCTATTTTTTCCGATAGTCTACAGAACAAACCATCATTATACAATAACTCGCCTAGTTACCCTAACCTGCCTAGTTAACCTAACTAACATAGTTAAGCCTTTAAATGTCACTTTAAGCTTTATAGAAGTGTCTTGAAAAATATTTAGTCAAATTCATTCATTCAACTGTACTTTGTAGTAGTATATTTATATTTGTCTTATTAAAACACCTGTCAGGTTTTAGACCATATGGGGCACAGCATGTGTGTTTGGATATAACTCAGTTGTTTGACCACACTTCGTTATTATTGTTCATTTATTAGTTTGCTGGAAACTAGAACTGAATTTAGAAATAGTTTTGAAATAAATCTTTGTGCTTCATTCATTTATTCATTTATTTTCTTGTCGGCTTAGTCCCTTTATGAATCCGGGGTCGCCACAGCGGAATGAACCGCCAACTTATCCAGCACGTTTTTACGGAGCGGATGCCCTTCCAGCAGCAACCCATCACTGGGAAATCTTTGTGACAAACGAAAATTATTTATGTCTAGGCTAATGGATGTCTGTGCGTACAACACTTTTCCCTATCATGGAGAGTGAAAGTGAAAGTAAAGAATGAGAAGGCTCATCTCTCATTCTCGTACTGCAGATGCTCTGTTTTACTGTTTTCTCTCTAGTGAAACTTTCAGTTTTTCAACTTACAAAGTCCGCCATGTAAATAGCAAATGCGCCATGGAGTGACGCAACTGACTCTTAAAGGGAATGGGAGATGAGACTCTAATTGGTTTATTCTCTAAACACACCTATAACTCATTAAGAGAATAAGCTCAGCCCTGTTAGACCATGCGCTACAGCGCAAAGCGGATTTTTGCATCCTTAAAATAGCAAAAGAGGATTCTGATACGCCATTAACGCTTAATGCTTTTGCGCCCTGTGCTGTGGACTTTGTACATGGATTGTCAAATTAGAGCCCCACATCTTCACACAAAAAATCAGTCTACAGGCTTTCACAGAATACCTATGAATTATTCACATATTGCCTATAAAAAAACTTTATGAATGGATTTGTTTATATATACAGTCCTTTAACTTGCAGTCGTCCTTTTTAAAAGCAGTATATTGAAATGTTTGATATTTGATGGTTGCTTCTGAGCAGCTCTGGCTGTGTATAAAGACTTCTTTGTTTTGTTATACTAATATGTGTATGGCGGCTCTTGCGGGTTGCATTTAGGATTAGCTCAATGCTGCATCTGCCAGGGCTTCTCTGGAAAAGTACATTTTGAATAAGCAAATCTTGCCGTTTGCAGATAATTTAATTGGTACAGTATGAATATATCTCATTGTATGTTTGAACCCGCGACCATCCCCAAATCAAATCCAATGGGAGAAACGTCAGCTGCAGCTTGAAGAGGGAAATGCTAATTTGCCATCTGGATTATTGGCCATTTGTTTAATTCCCTTGTGCTTTATCAGCTGCTCCAAACAAACCAGGATCAAACCTGATTGGTCACTTCTCAAACTGTTAAAATATCCATTTGGCACTGAGAGATGAGTCCAGCATACACTACATGAGGTGTTCACATGTAGGAACACGATGGCTTGGTTTCAGATCGCCTTCGTTTTAACTACAACCTGCTAAGACCTGCAGACTTCTGGAAACTGTCTGGCGAGGAGTGGCTTTGGGAATGAGATCATCCTCCTCAATATGGGTGAAGCTGGGTTGGATCTAAGTGTTCATCACAGGTAAGATGGATTCAGATGGGTGGGAACTGCTTAAAAGACCCTCCCTGTGCTGAAAGAATGGAAATTTCCACTAGAAACAAGCGAGCAAGCAATCAGGTCTCTCTCTCTATACCATCATGCAGAAGTATTGGTAAAACTTTTGTCAACTTATGTTGGCTGCAACTTTATAAGTAAATCCAGGAGTTTATGCAATTAATTACGTCAAATGCTGGGATTTTTTTTATTAAGTATGCACAACAAGATAGTAAAAGTAGTACTATTGTGAAACATTGTAAGCGTTAAAACTAATAGTATATTTTAAAACGTCATTTTTTACAGCATAATTACTCTAGTCTTCAGTCATGTGATCTTTCAGAAATTAATATTAGTGGTGGACAGTAACAAATAGTGATTCACACTTGTATCAATGTTTTGCAGCTTCATATGTTTAATGGAAATAATATATATATATATATATATATATATATATAATATTTAAAATTACTTTTTTTGTCTATCATGTCTTTATTGTCACTTTTGATTATTTCAGAGCATCCTTGTTTAATAATCAGGGTTTCTGCAGATTCCATCAAGTCAAATTTAAGACGTTTTAAGACCATTGTGAATTAAATTTCAGAGTTAAAGAGGAAAATGCTAAGGGTTTTTTTCTGATGGCCTGTGGAAAATATCTTTACTTGACACATTAAAATTCAAACACATAAACAAATGTTATTGTAAGAAAGATAATTAAACCACATTGGTAAATAGAGGTAATAAATGTATCTTCTGCTAAAAGATTTCCTTCCTTTAAATGGATTGTTGGTTGTACTGATTGAGGACCATTACATGGACATAGGAAATTTAAGAGCTGTTTAAAATGATTTAAGGCTTACAACACTGTATTTCAGTGACTTTTTAAAATTAAAGCCTTTTTAAGACCCTGCGGACACCCTGAAAAATAGTATTCATCACAAAAAAATAGGAAGCAGCACAACTTTTTTTAACATTGATAAAAAATAAGAAAATGTATGTATGTACACTAACCGGCCACTTTATTAGGTACACCTTACTAGTACCGGGTTGGACCCTCTTTTGCCTTCAGAACTGCCTTAATCCTTCGTGGCATGGATTCAACAAGGTACTGGAAATATTCCTCAGAGATTTTTGTCCATATTGACATGATAGCATCTTACAGTTGCTGCAGATTTTTCAGCTGCACATCCATGATGCCAATCTCCTGTTCCACCACATCCTAAAGGTGCTCTATTGGATTGAGATATGGTGAATGTTGAGGCCATTTGAGCACAGTGAACTCATTGTCATGTTCAAGAAACCAGTCTGAGATGATTCATGCTTTATGACATGGCGCATTATCCTGCTGAAGGTAGCCATCAGAAGATGAGTACACTGTGGTTATAAAGGGATGGACATGGTCAGCAACAATACTCAGGCAGGCTGTGGTGTTGACACGATGCTCAATTTGTACTAATGGGCCCAAAGTGTGCCAAGAAAATATCCCCCACACCATTACACCACCAGCCTGAAACGTTGATACAAAGCAGGATGGATCGATGCTTATGTTGTTGACGCCAAATTCTGACCCGACCATCCAAATGTCCCAGCAGAAATCGAGACTCATCAGACCAGGCAACATTTCTCCAATCTTCTATTGTCCAATTTTGGTGAGGCTGTGTGAATTGTAGCTTGTTTCCTGTTCTTAGCTGACAGGAGTGGCACCTGGTGTGGTCTTCTGCTGTTGTAGCTTATCCACCTCAAGGTTAGACATGTTGTGTGTTCAGAGATGCTCTTCTGCAGACCTCGGTTGTAACGAATGCTTATTTGAGTTACTGTTGCCTTTCTATCAGCTGGAACCAGTCTGGCCATTCTCCTCTGAACTCTAGCATCAACAAGTCATTTATGCCCACAGAACTGCCGCTCACTGGATATTTTCTCTTTATCAGACAATTCTCTGTAAACCCTAGAGATGGTTGTGCATGAAAATCCCAGTACATAAGCAGTTTCTGAAATACTCAGACCAGCCCGTCTGACAAAGTCACTTAAATCACCTTTTTTCCCAATTTTGATGCTTGGTTTCAACTGCAGCAGATCATCTTGACCATGTGCCTAAATGCATTGAGTTGCTGCCATGTGATAGGCTGATAAGAAATTTGCGTTAACAAGTACCTAATAAAGTGGCCTTCAAGAGTATATGTAAAAGTTATTTTAAATTACAATGTTATTTCATGAAATAACAGTTTTACTGTCTGTTTTATTAGTAAAAGTGCAGAAGAAACTTATTTCTTAGAAATTTGTATTCTTTTTCAATCATTTCCCAAGTGCTCTTTAATAGGGATTTAACTAATTTCCAATTACTTATTTTGGTAACAATCTAATATAACAGTCCATTAGTTAATGTTATTTAATGTATTTACTAACATGAACAAACAATTAGTAATACATTTATTACAGTATTTATTCATCTTTGTTAATGTTATTTAATTTAATAATGTAGCTCATGTTGAACGATATTAATAACTGCTTTACAATTATATTCATACTTAGTTCATGTTAATAAGTACATTAATTAGCATTAATTAATGGAGCATTATTCCAAAAGTGTTTTTCCATGATATAATATTTTGGCTATGTTCTGTTGCCAAGTCAAATATAATATTAGCGGTAATAATATTGACCTCATCATTTAACTATTATTATTCTGTCAGCCGAACTAAAAGAAATAAGACTTTCTCCAAAAGAAAATAGGAAATACTCAGAAAAAGTCCCTCGCTCCAATAACTTTCACTTGGGAAATATTTCAAAACAATACAAATTTCACGGGACAGCTAATAATTCTGACTTTATCTGTAACTCAGAACATTAAACTTTAGCATGTCATTTGTTAAGGAGAGCTGAGCTATTATAATTTGACAATAAAACATGCAAAAGCTCCCATTACTTTAACTGCTCTTGCTCTGCAACTCATTCACACATGTTGTGGTCTTTGTTATTTTAACAGCCAGTTCAGTGGACACACTTGCTGAAGTACCCAGCATGCCTCATTGAGGACGGGGGGCAAATTGGCCACATTCCACAGCATCATCCCCTATTAGAAAGTCTGTGCTTGGATAGAGGACACAAAAGACTGACCCTGGAGATTTACAGTGTGCACACAGAGGATGAATGCGAGACGCTGAGGGACAAAAGTGCAGGTTAAATGTGACCACGTCGGATTGTGAGTGATTTTGCAGGATTTTTGTTGATTCATTAACAGCCTGAAATGAAAGTTTACTCCACTTTGTTTTGATTTTCACTGTTCAGATGAATATAAGGAGAAACTTCTATATACTTTGGGGTCAACATTACAGAGCCCATATTATGGGTTTTTGAAAATGCCCTTCCATGTAGTGTGTAATACAGCTCTAAGTGAAGTGAAGTATCCAGCTAAGGCTTAAATCTGTAAGAGTACAGTGTTTAAAACGGTTGATTCATCTGTAAAAGAGTCGACTCATAGTGCTTCAAACGAGTCGCCTTGATACCGATTCATTAGGTGTTTCGCCATGATGTACTAACGAAACTAAGTGTACTAAGTGCACGCGCAAACCCGGGAGATTTCAAACCTGAGGCCCCGCCCTCTGACGCCCTAACCCACACACACACACAAACATGCCGGTCGATTGAAGTCACACTGCAGATGGATATTATCGAGTCTCTACCCAAAGATGAAACCTCAGCATTATAACCAAGCAGTTGGAAACTTCTGGAAGCTACATGCTACAAAGAATACTTCATCGGCGTTTGTTAAAGGAAGGATCAGTAAAGAGTAACTTACTAATGGACGTCAGGATGGGTTTCTACACTTTCTCAAGTGTAAGTACGTTCGATTAAAGTTGTTGCCTCATTTACTCTAGCTTGCAAATGTATTTAGTTGTGATTTGTTACTTGTAACCGCGTGTACTGTATCAGGTTAACTCGCTATATTCTCATATCGCGTGCAAAGCCACGTTAAAAACGCGACGCGTGCTGCTTTGTTTACGGAGCTCCTTGGAGGAGGGTAGTGTGTGTGCGTGCGTGTGTGCGCGCTGTCGTCCGGAGGTATTTGTGTGTGTGTTTGTGTGTGTGGGTTTCCTTAGGGTGCTCCGGTTTCCCCCACAGTCCATGCACTATAGGTGAATTGAATAAACTAAATTGGCCAAAGTGTATGAATGTGACAGTGTATGGGTGTTTCTCAGTACTGGGTTGCAGCTGCAAGGGCATCCCCTTGCATAAAACATATGCTGGACATAGTTGGCAGTTCATTCCGCTGTGGTGACCTTTTAATAACCAGTTAAACTCTGCTGTTATCTTGGGATTTCCGCCTGGATTTTGCCTACCCAAATTTAAAAGCTTCCCAAATCCACATGCAGAGGTGTAAATGCAAAAATTTGGTATGATTTTAAAGAAAACCCTTTGTATTTTCATAAAACACTATAGAAAGTGTTTAATGTTTATATCTAAACATTAGTGTTTAGTGTTTATATCTATATATGTCGTCTGTGTTATAATAAACACCTTAAAAAAAGCGCTTTTTGTATTATTTTTTTTTTATAAACTCAAATTTGAAAGTGTACCTTTTAGGCTCTGTGTGGTCTAGCGTGCTGTAATTAATTTTGGTGGTTCCTGCACATGTCTGTCATCATAGGAAAAAAGAAAAATGTCTCTGCCATAATCTATGCAAACATTATTGTATTCCAACTGATGAGAGGTGCTGTACAAGCCACAGGGAGCGATCATTGTTTTCATATTTCACTATTCTTTTGTTTGATCAAACATAATTCACTGTGTTTGGACCAAGTCAGTTATATAAAAGGATTACTTATGCACATCACCTCAAAACAGAGGAGAATGGCCCTGAAGGGCACAGCATAAGGTGAGAGATGACAGCTGTCTGTGCTATCTAGGGCTGCTTAGTGATCATAAATGTCTTGCTTTCACTTTTGCGCAATGGAAACATCGCAATTCATTTGACAACTGTTTGATATGTGAATATAATTCAGTAAAATTAATGCTAGAACCATATGAGCACCGGCAAGAGCTTATATTTGAGTTATAACTTGTTCATGTGTCATATGAAAAATATAAAAAATGAACCAGTGTAAAAAGCTTGGGTATCCAAAATACTGGGTATTTAAATGTAAATAACTTTTGTACAATAGAATAAAAACCAAAGTGATGCATATGTGTATAACATATAGATTCTACACTTTCAAACGAAACCACTTAAGGGGGTCTGGTGCAATGCTAGCCCTTTAAATCTTAAAGCTAAAGTCGATGACGTGTAAACACGTTGCAAGTGCATTTCAACTGACATGTCAAATGTGAGATGACTCATTTTCACAGTAACCTCAGATAACCCCATACGTCCAGGGCTGATATAGAAAGCCGTCAGTGACTTGACTTCCCCTTTGGTCAGTGAAGGAAGAAGTCATTTGCAGTTGCACCTGAATTTTCTGAGACAAAGAGCTGCAACCTGAAGCCTGGAATTTCATGGCTGCGGGGAAGTTTGAAGAGGGGTTTGTCAAAGATCAGGGGTCAGGATTAGGGGGAAAAAAAGGTCAGCGTAATTGGAAAAATCAGAGGGAGGGCTCAGTGATCCAACTGTGCTCTTTTGTCTTGAACAGCGGTAACCCGTAACACTCTGAAACTCTTTGTCATGGCCATGAATGTACCTGGTGAAAATCAGAAAGCAAACACTGCAAGGGTCCTAAAGAGCATCAAGGACGGTTTTGCATCAGCATGTGAAAGTGTCTGTTCTTATAAAGCAATGCCTATTTATTTCTGTTTAATGCTGGTGTTTCAAATAACTGTAAATTTCCATTTTATGGCCCACATTGTTATGACTAATAAATAATAGTTATTTATTCTGTGGGCAGTGGGTAGTACGATCGCCTCACAGCAAGAAGGCCGCTGGTTCAAGCCTCGGCTGGGTCAGTTGGAGTTTCTGTGTGGAGTTTGCATGTTCTCCCCATGTTCGCATTGGTTTCCTGCGGGTGCTCCTGTTTCCACCTCGGTACAAAGACATGCGGTACAGGTGAATTGAATAAACTAAAATGGCTGTTGTGTGTGTGTGTGAATGAGAGGGAATGGGTGTTTTCCAGTGTTGAGTTGCGGCTGAAAGGGCACCCGCTGTGTAAAACATATGCTGGATAAGTTGGCGGTTCAATCCGCTGTGGTGAACCCTGATTAATAAAGGGACTACGCTGAAAAGAAAATGAATGAATGAATGTATTCTGTTCTTATATATGCACGTGTCAGATTTCAGCTGCATCTTTTTTGGGGGGTGGGACATTTCAGTTTGTAGAGAGCATTTGATTGGTCAGAAGATCTGAAGACACATGCTCTGTAATGCCATAAAAAACTCTAATAATTTTAGGAAGTGAAAAAACTGAAGTTATTAATTTTCTAAATGCAAACAAATCTGTCAAATTTACCATAAAAAGCTGTAGTTGTACATAATAATAAATAAAAATAAAGTAATGCAATTAACATTCAATGTAACATGAAACTCTATAGTACCTACTGAGGAGAAAAATAACTAGGGCTGCACGATACTGGAAAAATCTTACGTTGTGATATTTTTGCAGTGATATGAATATGTTTTATAAGACGATTTGAATAGCTGTGTTTGGAAAGATTTCATTAATTTAAATCGACTGGCATGCAACTCTGCTTCATTCGCCCATCAAATCGGCTTCATTTGCGCGTCAAATTCACTTCAGAACAGACGCAGATTCGCATGATGGGCAGGGCTTCTGTCTGCCCGGTGACTAGCTTAGTTTTTAAATGGCTAACATGGGTTTTATTAAGAAAATAACATTGTTTATGTGTTTTATGAAGGCTGAAAAACTGCGTCAATACGTTTAGGGCCGTGTCTGAGTCCACTAGATCCTTTCAGAGGTGCGTCCAGCTCTGTGAGCTCATAATCTCCTCCAGAAACTGAACCTGGATGATGGAGGCTTTCAGCCCAGTTGGATGAACTGTTGTCAGTGTCGGCTGGAGGATTTCCCTCAGGACACCAACAGCAGGCGCTACGTCCAAATCACACCCCCACATGAGCAAGCTCCTGATTGGTCAATGCGGCACCAGTGTCCGCTGAAGTTCAGATTTTCGAACTTGAGCGATTCGTGTGAAATGCATGTTAAGTGCGTCAAACAAGCAAAACTCTAAATTGGCGGCGTGCCATTTGCACCGCAGGATGTTCATTCATTCATTCATTTTCTTGTCGGCTTAGTCCCTTTATTAATCCGGGGTCGACACAGCGGAATGAACTGCCAACTTATCCAGCTAGTTTTTACGCAGCGAATGCCCTTCCAGCCGCAACCTATTTCCGGGAAGGCCGCAGGATGTCAATTCACTCATTTGCATTGACTTAACATGTAAATCCACGTCTGGTTTGAACACAGTATAAGCCTCGTACACACCGAGGCGCTTTTTGTTCGCGTTTATCATCAGCATTTTTCAAGACGATTTTACAGATTCAAACCCAAGTGATTTTCACTGGCTTCAAGCAAAAGAGTATGCGAAATCACTCCTTGACATTAGATAGTTTTGATGCGATGCATCAAAACAAAAACAAAAAAAACGAGCATGAGGCTTTTTTTTTAATTAAGGTTTTTTTTTCGCCTGGTGTTTTGCGCATTGGTGTGCGCGATCACACTTTATTTAGTCACAAGGTGTTAAACGTCGCCGGAAAACGCAAGCAAAAAACGGTGTGCACGGGCCTTAAGACTGAAAAAACTGTCACTTTAGCCTGATCTCAGAAGGAAACTAAACAATTTTACATTTCGTCAGTTTAGTGGCAAATTCATTCAAATTCATATGTTATAAGTTCAGTTGTCATAAGGCATACGTCAAAAGTTCAGTCGTATGAAAATGTACGATTCTTTTAAAAACAACCAAACCCCAACTGTTATTTGGAGATGAGCAAATAGTACTAAACTGTATAAATGAGATCACACAAATTCATACGAATTACCCATTAAATCAAAAGGTAAGAAGTTGCCGTGAGATAGCCTTGGAGATTTTGATTTCAGAAGAACTTCATGGGTGTATATTTAATTTGCAATCCTAAAAATCAAGATAAAAAAACACAAAGACAGAAAGAAAGAGTAACTCATCACACTGCATGAAAGAAGATGTGAGGATTAAAGAAACATGTTGGCTCCTTTCTTCTTTTTCCCATCTCTGCTTATTCTAA